GGGACACGTCATTTCACGCAGCGGCATTCAACCAAGTGATGAAAAAATCAGGGCCATCTCGGAAGTGCCAACACCCAAAAACTCGACAGAACTAAAGTCCTTTTTGGCAATGTGCTGTTATAACCTGCGCTACCTGCCGGATTTTGCGACTGTGGCAGACCCATTAGGACAGCTAACAAGAAAGGATCGTCGTTCGTTTGGAGCAGCAATCATCAAAATGCCTTTGATGAACTGAAAAGGAGAGTTGCGTCTGCTCCCTTAGTTGCCATTTTTGATGAATCTTGCCGCACCTTTGTGTCCACTGACGCGTCTGATGTCGGTCTCGGAGCTGTCCTCTCACAAATACAAAACGGAGAGGAGAAAGTTATTGCCTACGCATCACGAAAGCTATCAGATTCCGAACGTCATTATTCAGTTGGGGAAAAAGAAGCTCTTGCATGTTTGTGGGCCTGTGAAAAGTGGCATTTATTTCTATTCGGTCATCATTTTATTCTGCGTACTGATCATTCAGCCCTAACAGCTCTTCTCAGCAATGGATCTAAAGGATCTCGCCCAATGCGAGTCGATCGCTGGTATGCCAGCCTCCTTAACTACGATTTTGAAATTGTGTGCCGGTCAGGTTTGCAAAATCAGATTGCTGACGGCCCATCTCGCTTACTCGTGGGGTTAGATGAAAAAGAGAGACTCAGAGATGCGGTACTAGTTTCCAGTCTCGGAGCTAAGCTGTCTGCCTTGACGATCGAGGAACTACGAAGGGAAAATGCCAACGATCTTTTACTGCATGAGATCATTGAATATGTGCAGCAGGGCTGGACCAAGAATAAGGAAATCCCCGGTGAGTTCATTCCGTATTATGCAATCCGACATAAACTATCAGTGGTAGATGGCTGCCTGATGCATGATTCGGTGTTTGTAGCTCCGCCCCAGTTGATAGCCAAGATAACAGCTTGCGCACATAAGGGACATCCAGGTATAGTTCGGATCAAAAATCGAGTGAGACTCTATTTCTGGTGGCCACGAATGGCATCTAGTATTGAGACATTTGTGGTAAATTGCAATGATTGCCGATTAGCGGACAAAAGTTTTTTGCCCGTTAAAGCCCCGACACAGCCAATTGCTTACCCGATAAAACCATGGACCAAATTCGCCATTGATATTACGGGCCTTTTCGCTACTGCTCCTACGAATAAGCGAAATCTACTTGTTGCTACAAGTTTGTACAGTAGATGGCCTGAAGTACACACGTGCGACCAAGTAACTACTTCGGTTGTGTTACGTTGGCTTAAACACTTGTTCAGTCGTTTCGGTTTACCGCATGAAATAGTGACGGATAACGGACCACAATTTTGTAGCCGCGAATTCGCAGATTTTCTATATTGCCATAACATTAAGAACTCCAGAACTGCGCCCTACAATCCTGTAGCCGACGGCATGCTCGAGCGTTTAAACCGGTCTCTAAAAGAAGCTATACAAGCCATACACATATGAGGTTCGGACTGGGAGAAATCAGTTTTAACCGCGGTATTTTCCTACAGAACATGTGACCACAGAGCCACCGAAAGAACGCCAGCGGAGCTAATGCTAGCAAGGCCCTTACGCACAAAGTTAAATGCTGCACATAACCTTTTATTAGCGAGAGATGCCGAAGTTTCAAATCGCATAGCATCTTACCAAAATCCCTACGCTAAAGCATTGATACCAATGCAGCCCGGCACATACATTCGCGTCAAAAGCAGGGTGACAAAGAAAGGCACACCTTCGCTTTCAGCTCCAGTGCGCATTGACCGTACGCTTGGCTCGGGCACATATCAATTAGAGAACGGTCTAATTTTCAACGCGCGTCTACACCACACAGCTCACGAACCAGCCCGACCGATCTGTGCGTGAAGACCCGGCTGAGTTACCATTACCACGACGTCAGCTGCGTCGGTCCGCAAGAACGGTGAAACCTATGGATCGCTACAAACCAGGTTGAGGCGGCATTTCGGAAGGGGAACAATAATGTGGTAACAATGTGAACAAGATCGATTGGCTCAATCTCATTGATTGGCTAGCTGACTCATTCCTACCTTAACATTGGTCGTGTGTCTGTCGTTTGACTCTCCGTTTAACGAGGGATTGAGACTCAGTTGTACTTGGTTATTTTACGAGATACATTTTTACCTGTTCTGTGGCTTTCTTGATACAGCAGGGACCGCAACCGTGAATGACCGGTGTTCACCATAAGCGAGCCACGGTAGGTACATGAACTCGGTCATCTGCCTTCTGCCGCCAGACTAACTGTACAGCCGGAATGAACGCAGTGCATTGATTTTTGCGACGTTCGTTCAAATGACGAAACAAATGACCCTAGGAACCACGTAATTTTTCTCTTTCGCAACTTTGGTGCAAAGGTAACGAAGAATGTTGTATACATCTCATTTCCTAGATTTTCCAACAACAAGTTTCTACTATGTACATGTCGCACTGCTTTGAGTTTTACTAGGTAGCTCATACATGGTGTACGGTATTCTTAAATCCCTGGAGTAAGCGTTTCTCCGCAGAATACATTCCTTCTACTAATCCGCTTAAATGTTTGCATTTCTCAGAAGTTTCTGACAAGAAACAAATTTCCAAAGGCACTTAGTTCAACCTACATGATACCAGTAACCAGAGAATGATGTGGCAAGACACTGATTTTTAGAAGAGTAGGAGGCGAATTATTCGTGGTTTGAGAAGAATTAGCGCAACTAAACTTAGCCAGACAGCCACCACATAACCAGGAAAGCACTAGATGACCTCTTCCTTCTATTGGGTCGGATCCGAATTCCTGTACTTACTCTTACCAGTCAGTGACTTATGCCACTGACACATGGATGCCGGTAGCGGGCCGCCATCACTATTTTTCAACTGCGATATAGCGCGACTCATCTTGCACTGTCAGGTACGCTATGAAGGTGAGGAAACTGGGCTAAATGTCACAGATACGACTATCCTTGTTGAACGCATTTGTCATAGCACATCAGCCGAGCAATATCAAAGATTTGTCTGCCGCCTAAAAATGTGTCATGTTGTGTAACTCTTAGTAAACCTAATTAACATTGTCTGTGTTAACTCAATAATGTGTCGCCGGATACTCCACCTTAGTGATACGTTTATTTTGAGGATGTAGTTCCGCTTCTGACCAATTTAATTTGAATCATGCTGACCTTGGATTTACCTGCACCGAAAACCGTTTTTCTAAGTTGGAGCCTAATATTACATCGTATCAAACGAAGTTAAGCTTGGTGACGTTAATTCCATGTTATTTTTGACTTCAAGCTGGCTTGCCATACACAGTGTCCAGGGTGAAATGTTAGCTATATCATTACAGCAATGTCACTTCTCCGTTATAACCAGAACTGGCCGATCCTCAGCAGCATGTAGCTTGTCGTTCGTCGAAATGCACTCGTGTGTGTGTGTGTTTGTACTTCTCAATCCCAACAACACGTCCATTCAAATTGGAAGACATTCTGTATTTGGTCGACAAGAAAACACCGTGAGAGTGTGAGCAGCGGCCTTTCGAACTTGTCTACATCGTATGCCATAATACAAGATCCACACAGCTTACAATAACTTGCATATATAACATCGTAGAATTTCAGCTGTTTGAGGAAGATGAATACTTTCATAGACCTGACTAAGATGTGGTCGGAAAATAAAGCTAGCCTCAGAGCTTACAAGTAGGCCTATGGTGTCTTTAACGTTGCTTAAGTAAAGAACTCGTCGGATAATCAGTCTGCAACAACTACATCCCTTCAGTCAGTAGATCGGTAAAAGAATACCCAGTCGTGATTCCTCTGGTAGTTCGACCTTTTCAGCTACAATGCACTTAATGTAAAGGTTTACAGTGAATACAACTGCAGGTAGCTGATCGATAATTATTTGGATAGGAATTATTAGGACTTGGTAAGACAGCTCAAGCATAGGTGTAGTTAGATTAGAGTTGTAGCAAAATGGGAAATTTCTGCTTAGTAAGGTATATATGTAGGTGGGAACAGGAGGACTGAAGGAATCGGAGAGGAAGTCCTACGATAAAATTGTAGAGTTATCCAGACACTAGATCACCGTAACATACACGGAGAATGTCCTCAGGGACACTAAACCCGGAGTTAATTGAACAGTTAGAAGAGACAAGGACTAAATAAAGAAGGACACCGATAGAGGTTAGCAACAAAAGACGTGACTGGAGCAACTGACTGCTAGTTACGTGTAATGAAATTATCAATTGCTGAAGAGATACTGAGCTTCGAGTACATAGAGCGAATTGCCTAAAAGCAGCTGGTCAACCTCTAAAATCTCACTTCTTTTAGTGTGCAATTCCCATGTGCGATGAGATATTTGTGGCATTTGCGCCATAGTTTGCAGTTTGGGAAGCGCGACTTTGTTACACAGTTTAGTCATCAAAAGTTACCTTGTTTGCGCGATTTGAAAGGCGGTCACACTTGCGAATGATAACAAGTGAGAGCCGGTTTCAAAGTTGTGCTATTGCGGTGCTTATTAAGTCGGCTTTCGCAGATTTGACAGAATTCAGGCAAAAATGAAATTCTACTCTTCCAAAATAGTCGGTAGCAATCTGTCGAATCAATAATGATCAAACAACAGTATTGTGGATAGTGCTCACAATAGTGTTGTAGCGATGGTCATCTGTTGTTGACTGTTCTTGTAATCTCATTTCTTCACGATGTTGCTCAGTGCAAATGAATGTTGCAGATAGAATTACAGTCGCTCGATGGAACCATTGTTGGGCTCCACATGCACAAAAATTATTTTATCGCTTTTAATTTTCGAAGCGGATTTACTCGAGCATGATTAGATCCACCCAACCCAGAAAATATCCCATATAAACCAGTAGGCGCATAACCCGATTGCTAACCCCATCTGTGTTTACGCTTGAACATACCAGTGATGATAAATTGGATCAAGTGAGTTAACCGTTCATCGCATGTGATCAGGTCATTTTTCACTCTATCCCCATCTAGTGCGCCACCAGTTCGTGTCACCGGCAGAACATGGCCAACAGGGACGCCGTTGAACGCTTCCACAATCTCGTACAACGGCTCGGCGTTTTCACATGTTATACACACCATGATCACGTGAATGAAGCTATAATGCACAAATTCTATGCGCAGGCCACCCTATACAACGCCTTGTTTTGGCCCCTGGGAATCCTCATCTTATCAGGAACAGTTTTGGCTGTGCTCTGGTCTCACGATCGATGCGAAGCATGGGGTGATGAGGTTGCCGTATTATCCTGACTATGCATACCGAACTTGTGTAATCACATTGTGAAATATATTATTTCAGTGATGGCACTGTTAAGTTACTTAATGGGTTGACCCACATAAAAATCCTTGGTCTGTTTCAACATAAGATATCCCGGGACTAGACATCAGTACAAATGTTAGCGAACAGGCTCATTTTCAGTGGTTCTTCATCAGGCTAATACATCACAAATGAATTACATGAACGTAAACATCAGATGGGGGTACAGGTTCAAAACTGATAGTCTGAATGACCAAGTTAGGTGCTTGGCCCCACAGCGATCCAGAGTGTTTGTGTGTGTAGGGCGTTGTCCACACTGTGTCCGTGTTCCAGAGAACCAGAGTATAGTGCCTGAAGAAATTTCTTGTGCGCACCTAGGTCAGCATCGCCGTAAGGCCTAGGTTGGTCAATCAGACCACCGGGCTTTTGAACCTGTACCCTTATCTTATGTTTACGTTCGTGTCCTTAATTTGTGATGTATTCGCTTGATGAGGAACCACTGAAAACGAGCTTGTTCGCTAACATTTGTTCTGATGTCCATATGAAATTGACCGTACGTTACATGAGGTGAGAGAGATAATCACCTCATAGTTTTGTTGGCAGGAGCTCCTTCGATAAAAGCAAGCGACGAAGAACAACCAATAGAAATGTTTTAATGAATTCGCCTCAAATGAATAAGTTTACCTTGTTTGACTAGTCGATATTAATAATTTAGACGTAGTGCAAACCTCATAATTCTAAACTTGAAATGCAAAACATTTAATAAAACTGCACCGTATATACAAAGGCAATCGCTTATCAGAAATGAATAAATGACAACTAAATGAACGAAATTTGTTGCGGATCAAAGTAAGGTCAAGGGAATCGATGCCAGACAAACATGCAGTAAACAAAAAGTCCACAAGGGCCAGCACAGTGATATATGTTATGGAAGTACGCCTATATTAATGTTATTCTCCAACGTACTGAAATGCACGCCAAATTTACAGCTGCAGAGGGAGATGATAATTTTAACTTCTTACATTGTTGGATGACAAGTTTCTGCTCTCGAACATCGGTTGCCAGATATACCATTTTCACATTAAATTGAAGATTTTGCAAACCACTTTGGACGTTTCGTGAAATAAAACGGAGCTTCCAAACCACAATGGACATTTTGCAGACCACTTTGGACATATTGGATTTTATGCAGAAAACCAGCAATTCGCTTGCAAGAAATGTGGTGTGAAGCGACTAGATGATTTTCAGATTACGTTGTAGTCATGCTCAGGCAACCGAATTGTGTAACCAGCGGGTGCCACTGCAAAATCTTATTTTGATCGTGAATCTCGATCTCCTCCATCAAAGGCGGTGAATACGTATCCCCTATCTCCTCCTCTGTGTTCTGGCAATGTATGTGCTTCTGAGTTTACACATAGACCTGTGTAGCTATGTAACTATTGAAGTCAGACTTTTCAATCCCGTAGTCTATCATGACTTAAGCAAATATTACCTAGAATTGGGAGTCCTTGTGAAGCATTCGTTTTGAGAATTGATTACGAGACGACATCTCAATGTGGACCGCCATTCCCACTGTATTAGACCTTGGTCAATTCCATCACATGGATCGTCACTGATGAAGCATATAAGCAAAGATCCAGTTGTCCCCTTTCACTCCATGGGCCTCGGTGTATTTTGTGTGGGCCAGCCAATTCAGCTGCTTGCTTATTGAATCAGTACAGGTCATCGTGACTCCACCAAATACAGCATAGTTTTATTGGCCTACTGCTATAACTCGTTATCGAAAAGGGGATTAAAACGGCTGGACGATGTTCAGGCTACATTGTGCTAGCGCGAATGCAACGGAACTGTGCAAGCAGTGGGCGAATTTGAAAGCCCTGCCCTTGATCATTGGCACTGTTCACCTCGAGCAAAATCGGCGACCTAATTGGCCCGTGTCGCTTTATGAGCTTTTGCCTATTTCCTGTGGGTGGGTGGGCGAACCAATGCAGTGCACTCCCTGTTGGCTATTATAAATCCATCGAAACGATTATAGCTTCATCCTTTAACAGTTGTAACGTTTTAATGTCAACGTAGTAAGCTGACTGTACCATATTCGGACTACATAGCGCTCAGGTGAATGCGACATAACTGCATAAGCAGTGGGCGCTTGTGCAATCCCTGCTCTTGATCATAGGCACCAGTTGTCTCGATCAGAACCAGTGACCCAGTTGTCCCCTGTCGCTCTATGGGCTTTCACGTATGTAGGTGTGTGGGCGAACCTATTCAGTTGCTCGACTATTGGACCAGTGTAAGCTATCATGAATCCACCAAAACCAGCCTAATTTCGCTGGCCTAAATTTGCACTTTGGTATCATCGCAAATGAGTAAGGCGACTTGACGATATTCAGGCCACAATTTGTTCATGCAACTTCAACGGAGCTGCGCAAGCAGTGGGCAGTAATGTAAGCTCCATAGATTATAACTTCTTCCCCCATAGATATGCGTACGTATGGCATAAGCTAACAAAGTCGTCAGTGCATCTGATAGTATCACGCAATTCCCCACGGTCATAAAGAGACAATTGTCTAGAAAGTAGCACTTGTATGCCCGAGAAGAATCTCTGGGAGAACGGCCCCGATCATATATAGACTTTCCTACAAAATCACCTTAATTGTGCGGAATAATCTTAATGTGCCGAGAGCCAGATCAGCTTCTTCAACCAGCAGCAATAAAGCCCTTTTCACCCGAACACTGTCCTCTCCTTATCGAGCTGTTTGCTTACATTTTTCTTCAATAGGACTGCCAACTCTCAGTGCCGTGTCATGACCTTGTCTCATTTGACCAGTCTCCTTCTCTCTGACTGCATTCATATCTACCGAGATGAAAACGGTCTAGGATGTGCAGACTCAATGCCACGTTTCCCACACCTTGAGAGCATGCTGGATTTGCTTAAGCTTTAATATGTGTCTTTTCCTTCCCTAACCTGTCCATTGCTGCTGACCCTTCTTTTTCGTCTTCAAACCTTAACCGTACGACTGTCTCAACGCGCCGAGTAACTATGTCTCGTCGGATCGGTCTATTGCTCTCCGACTTCTCTCAGACTAATGTGAAGTCCCTGACCAATGTTCGGAATATCGAACGCTCTATCCCCCTTTACATGAGGACCGCGTTGTCTTTCCCAAACCTTATCAGTAAATTATTTTCCATCCCGAACCTGGCATTTCCTTGCTGTGTTCAGTGTATTCATTCCTTCTTCAATCGGACAACCAACGTTCAGTGCCCTGCCTTTACTTAGTCCCATCTGACCAGTCTCCTCACTGACTGCTTCCAGACTACCGAGAGGTAAACGTTCTAGGCTCCGCATAACTTGAACACTCGTTATTAATATAGTTCCTTCCATTCCTAAGCTTGCCATTTCTGCTGACCTACCCTATTGTTTTTCCACAGTTGCACGACTCAATCTCAGTGCACCGACTAATGCAGTCTCGTCTGAACGCTCTCCTTCTCTCCGACTTCTCACAGACTATTGAGATCTTACCGGCCATTTTCGGAAGACTGGATGCTCTGTCCCCATTACCTCGAGAGCCACACTGAAATTTGCGTTCTTTGTCCATAAACCTTTTTCTGTCCCGATCTGCTCCATTCCCTATCGCTGTCTCTGTTTTCATTTATTCTTCACTCGGATAGCCAGCACCCAATGCCCTGTTCTAGTCTCATCTGACCAATATTCTGTCTCACTACTTCCAGACTGCGGAGATGTAAACGTTCCAGGTTGTGCATAATCAACATACAATTTCCCTCACAAGGCGCAGCACTTTCACACGCGTATTCATATAGCCTCTAATATCCATAACCTATCCATTAATGTTGACCGCCTATATTTGTCGTCCCATCTTAACTGTACGACTCAATTTCAATGCGCCGACTAACCCAGTCTCTTCTGAAGAGTCTCCTGCTCTCAGACCATTGTGAAGTTATCGATCCTCGCTCAGAAGACTGAACACTTTGTCCCCATTGTCTCGAGAGCCACGGTGATAATTGCGTTCTTTACGTATAAACATTTTCTCGTTCTGACCCAGTCATATCTCTGATGCGCTCTCTGTTTTCATTCATTCTTCAATGGGGCTGCGAGCTCCCAGTTCCCTACCTCAGTCTCATCTGACCAGTCACCTCCGTGACTGATTCCAGACTACGGAGATGCAAATGGCTTTACCAACGCAGAGCTAGTGGCGATGGCGTGTCGAGGTTGTCAGAACTAACAATGGTGTTCATTGGAAGAAATAAAAAAATGCACCTTCACATATGATATAGCTTGCCAGATGTCATCAATGGTTCATTTTATCAGCAAATATTTTCCTGATTTGAAAAGCGCCAGTTACATGCCTGGATGCTAATACCCTTTACAGTGGATGAAGGAATGTTTCCCGATAGTGAAATCGAAGTCAAAGTACATTTCCTAGGAATGCGCGAAGATGGCGAATTGGAAATAGATTTCCAAAGCACAACTGGTAGCACAGCGTTTTGGAAAGATCATTGTGAAATGGATGAAATCGATCAGTTAGCAGCTTAGAAGAAAAATCGTTGCAGGCATCCAGATGTCTAGAAATAATCAAATCAACTAAAGAATCTCTAGACAATGTGTTTTATAGACCGCACCAATAAGATGTAGTCTTTCTGAAGTAGTCCTGGGAAAATGACAGGAGAGCAGTATAGCCAATGAGGAATAATACAAGAGGTCACAAACCTGAATATTAAAGTATGAGGTACTGAAAGCACCTTAAGTCTGAGGGCATAAAAAGAAAGGTTTCTGACGTTTTGAAAAGTTGTATAGACGTGCGCGGAACAAGAAAGATTCTGGGATGAAAAAACGCCGATACTTGGCGGTGGAAGAGCTGGGTATGGGATTTTCATTCCCAGTAAGCGTGGGGAGAAAGCTATGAGGGACTGCAACTTATCGCTACGTAGAACAGAAAATATTACATCTCTGCATTTAGAATAACTAAGCGTAAGAGATCTGGATGAAGACCATTCCACTAAATCTTCCAACCCAATGTTGAAGTGATGAGGAATCCCGGTTAGTAAGGGACATACATCCCAGCACAACGTCATCAGTATATTTACACCCTATAAACGTGGTTTGTATAGGAAGATGCTCAAGATACAAGGAAAATAGAAAAGGTGATAGGATCACTCCCTGTAGAACACCACAGTCGGCACGGAGGACAGAGGATTTCTTACCATTCAAATTGGTGAAGTGATTACGATCTGTAAAATAGTCACGTAACAGATCATATACACCAGGGTGGACTTCATTTACGGATAGCAGGTTTAGTAATCTTGACCTATCCAGGCTTCCAAAGGTATTGGAATAATCCAGAAAGCCGTACGGACTTACATTTTTGATCTAATGCAGAGGCTATAGTATGAACAACATATGACCCTGCATCCAATGTGGAGCGCTGGAGTCTATACGCAAACTGGTAGATATCGTCTTCAGGAGCGGCTGAAGAAATCCGCGGAATTAACAATCTTTCGCAAACTTTTAGGAGCACAGACGTACACGCAATTGGGCGGTACTTTTGAGATCCAGTTTTTGGTACTGGAGTAATACTGGCCGCTCTCCAAATGTCCGGGATCACACTCGTAGTGATGCATTTGTTAAAGAGGTCTGTTAGAGGCAATGTGAGAGAATCAGCACACTCCTACAAAGCTAATGTTGAGATAGCATCCGGGCTTTTAATCTTTTGAGTTTCTTGTGGACGTTGCTTTGATCGAAGGGCGCGGCTGGACTTGAGCTAATGAACAAGGACAAGGAAGATGAGCTTAGTGAGGCGGAACGAAACTCCGAATTCAGTTTATCCACATCCTCTTCACCTCTCCGGCTGCGAACGCTCTTACCACAGAGCTGCCTCAGATGCCCCCATAAATCGTGACAGTTATGATTGCCTAGAACTGCTTCGATGTATAATTGGTTTAGTTTTTTTATACCTCGGATTTAATTGCCGTGGTTAGGCTTTTGATACGGGTAGTATTCTTGCACTTGTACCCCCATTCTTTCATCCTTCGAAGTCGTTTTAGTAGTGGTGAGGAAAATCTATCTGCTCTTAGATAGATCGTTTCAACGGGGCAACACGTCAGAGCAATATTTGATGTAGTCTGTAAGATGGCCACATTCGAGCGACAGGTTCACGTCGTGGAGAACCGAAAAATCAGTTAAAGAAAACATCGCCTGGAGCCTCGTGATATTTTCCAAGGGGCAATTGCGCCGCTTGATAACCCTGTAAGGCCGTCTGGTCAGCGTCAAAAATTTAGACCTGTAGAAAACTGGACAGTTTTAAAATACAATGGTCTGAGCTGCTTAAAAGAGCCCGCTTTTGTATGGCAAATAGCTGCTTTTATTTGTGAATGCAGCGTCCAACTGAGCATCTTGTCTGGTCGAAACACTCACTAGGCCTACCAGGTCAAGTGTTTTCAAGAATGTATCCTTTGTATTGAAGCCGCTAGCAACAATCCAGATGGAACAATCTAATGTAAGCAGTAGCGTTGAAGAAAGTTGGTCTTCAAAAAGTTTTAACTTGGATGCGGATGTGTCAGTAGCAATGCATACGTTTCCAACGATGACTGATCGAAAGCCACTTAGGAACTTCGATTTGCACTCAACTAAATCGCAGCTTTTAGAAATGTTTTATCACGTAAATATTATGACTGCTGCGTTGCACCAACGTTGATTAACATAAGTTATAATGCCAACACCACGAAACCGGGGAGGTCAGACCTGATGGGAAAATAACCAACGAGTTGAATTACCCCATTTTCCACATCAGCATGCAACCAGCTTTCTGGTAATAGTATGATTCCTGTATTAACATACTCATTTCGCCGCATAATGGCACTGAGTTCACTGATGTTACCAAGGAGCGAGCGAACATTAATGGAAGGTATCAGTGGGACTTGCGCTTTGTCGACAGAACAACGACTGAAGCCAGATTGTCAGCCAGCCCGATGCTTGCGCTTTTTCCCAAGACATTTATTCGTAATACGTTTGTAAGAGTTCCTGACTTTATGGCCGTATTTGATAAGGCACGGACTTAAGGAAATGGCATGTAACGTTTTCAAATGGTTGACCTTGAGAGCTGAACAGAGAAAAACAATTTGCTCCAAAGTTAAAAATAAAATACAGAATGCGCAGTCCGTGGTGTAAAATAATCCAATGAGAGCAGCAACGACCGAATTTGAAGGCACCGCCAGATACGTTGAAAACCTGCGACCAGGCGCTCGCGCAGTTCGTCTGGAGTTCAACCAACGGTGAGAAGATAGTTCAGGTAAGTTGCCGTACCCGGAAAGTGAGATCATTGCGTTCATCGTTTGCTGGAGAAGGGTTGGGGCGGTCTTGACACTAAACAGCAACCTAGTAGACTGTAGCAGAACATGGTGTGCGTTGATCGTCAGCTGTCAAGGCCAAGTTCTACCTGTAAGTAGGCGTCCGCTAGGTCGAGCTTAGCGCGACACGTGCAACCATTGGGCATTGTAAAGAGGTCAGCTGGAGCCAGTAGTGGGTAGTAGTTCGGCTCTAATGCAGGAGTGAGGCCATGGGAGAAGTCAGAACATATGCGGAAAGATGCATTCGATTTCTTGACCGCATCAACCGGTACTGATAAGCCGAAATAGGATCAGGTAGTAGGACACCCGTCTTCCGCTCGTTTGAACCCGGTATCGCACAATGGTAGGAGAAGATTTTATGTGACGGAATATCAGTTGAATCGCGGATGCAAACTGCAACACGGTCTGTGTGAGCACACAGGCCAAGATCATCCTGGGATAATGGGGGGGGGGGGTGTCTGGTGGTCATTTGTTTCGTTAATCGGTAATGTCGGAGTTCGTACAGTGTCGTAGATGGCCAGAAGAGGCAGATCGGCCGAGCCGAGAGTTTCGAACAAATCGATACTACTAAGTGAATGGAATTTCATCTTGGAGATCTAGTTGAAAGTGGCATTCCGAAAGAAGACGGAGCAGCATAGTTGTTTGGTTCACTGCACGCGACTTCCACAAGCCCTGGTGGCGGATTGGGAGGTCGACGCGAACATTAGCCTGTCAATGTGTCGCCAGAGATTCACCGAGACATTGTACAACTGCCGTCGTACAGACTGACTACTGATCAAGATGTCAGCGAACTTACTGCTGTCAGTAGCGTTGACTTAAAATATGGCCACCGGGCTCATGGAGCTACCAACCGTGTCTATTTTTGGATTTGTCATGGATCGGATTCTCATCTCTGGATTGCGGGTGGAGTCCAGGCCAGGTTTGATCCCCTTTATATGGAGGTTTGTAATAGCCAGAAGGATGCTCCACTCAGCCACATTGTTGACATCGGTAATCTCGGTGGAGACGTCAGGCACCACGGAATCTGCCCGAAGAAAGTGAGGACTTCGCCCCGTTGAGTTGGTAAGGCCGCACGGGACTGCGGCTTGAATGCCGCGACCGCATGGACCAGACTATATGCGGAAGCGTTATGGATAATCGCGACGCCATGCTTTAGGTTGATGAGCGCACCTGACACTCCTCAGCCACTTTCGGAAGTGTGACTGTAGTCCTACTGCATTTCGAGTAGGAGACTCGCCCAGATATCGGCACCTTGGGCTAAGTGAAGGCCAGTCACTTGAACTGATCTTTTTTAGGGATCCAAGTTGGAATCGTCTGTATTCACGAGCAGCGATGCCCGCGTACGTGATGAAGTTGTTAGCATCATACTTGGGCGGCTGGAAGTATTGAAGCCGGGTGTTGAACAGTGGGGGCTGCCAAATACGTCTTGCTGAAGTTAACGTCCTGAGGGCTTTTCCGCAAGACGCATTTGGTATAGAAACGATGCTCGATAGTGTGCAATATGCGGAGAAGTAGCTGGACCTACCACGCGTCATCCTGGCTGGTCCAGGTCCCTGTATGGCTTATACCAAGAATCGAAGATCACGAAGGCGCTGGGATCGCATAACGATTGAAAACCGTCAGTGAGACCTGACTAATTGGAAGCACTGGAGAGTTTATCAGTTAAAGTGATCATCAAGTTGAGTTGCTGCTGTAGCGCGTGGTACACAATTTTCACAGTTGGAAACACATCCCGCCACCTCTTTGTTATAACGGCCTGATTGTAAGGATTCGTTCAATGGGAACCAAAGACACGGTCCCTGCAAATCCTACACCCAAAACGGACGGCAATGTCTGGTGGGATTTGTTCATGTGGGAGTGGCTCAAACGCTCACCAGTGATGCACCCAAACTCCACACACAGGCAGTGCTTTTACGACCTAGCAAAAGCAGTGTTACACAACCGAGACTGAAGGCATGTGAGCTTTCATATAGAACAATCGGTGTAGGTTAAGCAAGGCGTGAACAAATAAATATGCATAATGCGAGTATGTCACAGGGAAAGTGCTGGGGACAAGCAAAAAGCGGAGGGAGTATCGGAATGAATGAATTCTCATGACGCGGAGGCAGTACGGACATGCGCGCTCACATCGACGCGTGTCTATGGTTTCGTGTTACGCAGTCTTGTGGAGACGCGCATTCCTCTGTAACAGACTCACTATCTCGACCTTAATGGTAGAGCCATAAAAGATAACTTTATCAAGGAGTCAGATACAAATGGAGTCACTGGGGCTTGTAGGAGTGATGTAAAACCGGTATAGAAGAAATGCAACGCTAGCGCCGGGGTCCAGTCAGTGTCCGTGGATAGAAGATCGAAACAAGCATTATCAAAGCGGCGAAGCAGATATTTAAAGTTGAGTACAAATTTCAAGGGAAACACAGCAGTCCGGCTGGAAATTTTGCCAAACTGACTCATGCGAACAAACAAGATAGCATTTCTGTGAGAAAATAGATTTGCGTTGACCCAACACATCGTGGTTATGGTGCAATCCGCGAGAGAAAAAGATGACACTGCTGGATCACACATGATGGGTTTGCATACTGTGAAGGTAAATGGACAAGAACATCACAAGTATCATTCAAGGAGAAGAAAGTTATTAGAAAAGATGATGATTGTTGAAAGCACAGAAGGAAATCTACAGTGCTCAAATGCGCCTTCGGTCCGTCAGCACCCGAATGATGCAGCCAGACTTTCCGCGATTGTAGACCTGAGACGGTGCGAAAAAGGGAGAATGCGTGATGTAGTATGTCATTCAATGAAAAAAACAATGATAACGAAAGAGAATTAATGCAACCAACTAAGAAACCTGAAGGACTCGAAACATTCTGTACTGGATAGACGTTGCATAAGTCCACACTACAACTACCGAGATGTGGACAAGAACTACGTATGGTAATGAAAACTAGAGCGCACAAACCTGCCGTCGCGTGCACTATTAATCAGAATGGCTACAGTAACTATCACAATCCCCTTAGATACAAACCTGGTGGGATGTACCAAAGATTTCGTCACAGTAAATGGATAATTCTGCCCCAAACACCGTGGATCGGCGGGAAACACGAACAAAAGTCGTTTATGGGTACATTCAGTAGGATCTAGTTACTTTATTGCAGCTAGATTACAAGCCAGAAAGGTTGATTGCCAATCCGGAAAGGCACCAGAGGATCGATCATCCTTAGTAGAGCTCGTCAGCGGTGCGCATTCTTTCGGTCCCTTTCAGGGAACCGAACCCATGAACGATAGTGTAACTGTGGTGGACTAAAGGCATACACTACTGCATTAGTTATCAGTAGCGTAGAAGTGCCAGGATGCGAAACGGCAACCAGCCAACAGCAGGCCGTAATGACTCCCCTAAAGGAGAGGAATACTTTACAACCGCAGCTGTATGCGTATGAGGAAGGGACGCACAAGCAATGCACACCAAACAAGCCCTAGGCACTGTAGGAAACCGGCGCCGCGCAACCTCCAGCAGGGATGCCGAAGATGAGAGGATACTTCGTTTGTCGAAACGGATGCACCCAGTATTAGCTATGTTTGTCACCGGAAATAATGCCGCTCGCACCTCGGATTCTTAGGTGGGTTAATGCCGTAAGAGGACGAACACTGGCAAATGTCAACATTTCGTATTGTTTCAGTGCCAACACAATAACGAAGATATACGACGGCAGGTAGAGTGAGACCGGAACAAGTTAGAACAGTGTAGAGGGGCAGGCGACACCCCTACGCCCAGGGTAGCCGTAGGCTTACGAACAGCTGTTTCTGCACACACAGTGCGGGTTTGATATGGCTGATCGCGACTGCCTCTGCAAAACGTAGGAGACGGGCGTCAGCATGTCTTAATACGATTGGAAACATTTCGGTCGGATCAAACTGGTGACAGGTGGCCAGTAAATGCCTACCTATGGATGAAGCAGGTGGTTTACATGAACAGATGGTATGAGCAACCGACGACTGGGTAATTTGAGGCTGCAACCATTTAGGTACATGTTCCCTTATCCTGGAGTTCAATGATCTATTGGTACGGCCGATGCAGTGTATATCACAACTACAAGTAAAGTGGTAAATACAATGTGAGTTGGCGCCAATAGGTTGTCTTTCCGTCATTGGGGTAACAGGCATTCGATTAGTGCGGTTGATAAGGACAGTTTCGGTAGCATAATAATTCCTCTGGACTGCGGAAGTTATGCGCTTCATTGTCCTCATATTGGCAAAATCTCCCTTAAATGGTAGCTCCATGTAGATCTTTTTAAACACTGTCGAAACCTTCTGTCCCGGCACCCTCGCCTGACTATGTTTGTCGATGAATCTACTTAGATAGCCATTTTGCAACAGCGTATCCTTGAGCGAGTTTACATCATCATCTAAACTGTCGGTAGTGCATATTTTCTTTGCAAAGTTGAATAGGGTCTTGACTAAGGTCCGCTTGTACCGCATTGGGGAGAAGCTGGTAAAGTGCAGGTACTGCCCTGACCAAGTCGGTTTTCGGTAAACCTCTCTTTTGATGGACCCATCTGCTCTTCGGCAAATCAACACGTGCAGATATGGGAGGCAGTTGCTTTCTCTGTTTCGCTGGTTACTTTCAGATTCGTATGCACGTTATTCAGGCGACAGACCAGACGCGCAATGTGATCCTCTGATGGGCTAAACAATAAAATATCATCCACATGCCGCTTATAGTAGGAAAGAAGCGATATTTCCACACTCAACTTCTTTTCAATCATCGACATGAAAAAATCTGCTAGCATTGAGCCCAGCGGACTAGCCATCGCCACCCCATCTATCTGGCGATAGGGAGTTTTGGAATTGGAAACCGATGTTCTCAGGGCATAGTAGTAAGCTGTCTTTTAATAATTCGACTGGCATTGGAAGAATAAAATCCGAGTACTCTGCTATTTCACACACGTAGTCAACTGTTTCATGTAGCGGAATATTGGTGAAAAGCGATTGTACATCCAATGTGGACATGACTTTATCGGATAGAACAAACTCATCTAAAGCCTCTTGAATTGGTGCCGGAAGCAACCAAGATGCGTCATGAAGATCCCCTGGTCGGAAGCGTTTGAAGAAGAGGATGAGGAGCTTCTTGGAGAACTTCGAGGATGAGGCGGAGAGATTTAATCAAGAACGACCGGGCGAAGCTGGTGGCCCTGCGGAGTCTCCTCAAGGGAAGGACGAAGGCAGTTCTGAAAGCAGCGCGGAGAGGCCCCGTCAAGCTGGACTGGGCAGCCGCGAAGGATGTGTTGGTCTCCGGATTGAACAGCCCTGCTGACCGCCAGGCGATACGGCAGTTCAAGGCTGCACGACTTGGTGTAGTTTGCCGCAGTTAGCTTACAAGTCAGCAAAATCGACTGTCAATCTGGAAAGGCCCCAGACGATCAATCATCCTTATTAGAGCTCGTCAGCGGTGCCCATTCTTTCGGTCCCCTACAGGGAACCGAATCCATGAACAGTGTAACAAGTAGCGGGTAGCTTATGCCACGGTGCCATGGATTAGGATAGCTGATCATCATAGACTGAAAGCTAACCTCGATCAGAAAAGCAAGATCAAGAGTGTAAAATACGACACTTGTGACTTGAACTCTTATGCTATTATGGCGTGGTTTATCAAAGCGGAAGTGATAATGTGGTTGCCGAAGCTTTATCCCGCACATGCGACTCATCGCAGTCACACACAATGGCACTCCAGGAACTATACGGTACTCTGTGCCATCCGAAAGTCAATAGAAAGTTTCATCTGGTTGGCTCACGGCATCTATCTTTCAGTCCATGAAGTGAAGGACTGCAGCACATATGCAGAAACGAAAGCCCAAATTTGCAAATCGTCGAGAACAATCATCCAGGCCACGCATCTTTTTGACAGATTAAACATATATTTCAAAGAACACTTGCCATCGGGGACACACAAGAACTATATTTTCACAATCATTGACGAATACTCCAACTTTTCCTTCACGTTTAAACGCTACGACAAGATCGCATCAACTGCGATTAGCGACTTAAGCCAATTGAATGCGGTCTTCGGTATTCTGCTATATAGGCGTTTTGATCGCGCTGCATCGTTCGTGTTTCAAAGGAAATGTGTCGTTGACTAAATTAGAAGCGTTCGCTGTCAGCCGGACAGCAACGTGCAACCTACAAGCTAATGAACTGGTAGAACGCATAAAAGGGTGTCATCTGGAAATCCACTGCTCTTTCACATGCATCTAAGAGCGTCGAGATAATTCAGGGGGGAAGCGCATTGCGTGACGTTCTATTCGTTCCCTTCTTTGTACCACCATAAACGCCCACTCCAATAAAATGCTTTTCCCGTTCAGTCGTGAGTAAAAATAGAGAATCCCGCTGCTGAGTTGGCTGCTTGCACCATAGCCAGTTCTAATGCGTCCTAAAGTAAAAATTTAAACCTATGGGCCGTTGGTAGACAAGGTCGAGCTAACGAATTGTAACCCTCGGCATGTTAACATATGTTTCCCGGATGGGAGTGAAGATAGCGCATCAATACGCGACTTGATACCACCAAGACTGTGCATGTTAAATGACCCTACTATTCTAACTCAAAGACTTCCCAACCGACACGGTCACACATATCACAGACCTTTAGGTCGCAAACCGATATCTTCTGTCCACCTGAGCCTTCGCACTTTTTTGAGAAACAACTCAGAAAACGATCATACACTCTGCGTAACCGTGAGGCTTGAGGCCCTGCTTATTGTCTGGTTTTAATCAGGAAATCAGGGGGAACGACACTATTAGATCTTCCATTGCTATGTGATTCCGATAGAATTTATCTTGTTCTTGCCAAGTTCCAATCCCAGGTCAAATCACAAATCAAAGCCTTGATGAAAAAGCGTGCTGGAATATTAGCTACCGAAATGGACACAAGTAGTGTGAAAAACCATGAACATTTATATGCTCGTATTCCAGGACAGCTAGATCAGCAGCAGGGGTAGGCAGTTAGGTTTCGGTCGGCCAATGGAGAGGCAGTTGTACACGTCACGTGATGAATCAATTTTATTGGAGACTCGGTTCTTCGGCTGTACACAATTGTTTTATATTCTGGCCTCCCCCTATAATGAGCTTTCCTCGAAGATTTTACAATGTCCTCTCACTGAATTGGTGTTTATCATAACTTTTCCGAAATTCATTTCACTATTCCTTCGGAGCTCATATTTTTCTCATCCGTCGTGTTCGGTTACATTCTAGTCCATAACGGTCACTTCAATCTGAGCAACGGAGGCTCACAATCGGATTGAGTGGGGTATCGGGCATACTGCATATTGGGCGTATATTTTACCGACCCGGCCCATGTATCAAGCATATGTAGCGCGAAAGCAAGTATGTTACTTCAACATCAGTAGGCAAATGACTGCGCGTGTTCACGCATAGAACTTTGTGCTTTAGGGTCCCAATACTCGGAGGAATAGCATGCTACAACAATCCCCGGTGGACAGTCGTGTGTCTTCAAACGCTCTGTGTCGCAAACATTGTCAGCACCGCTGAAAAGACAGCGTCACTTTTGGAGTTAGGACGTTGCAAGCTCGGCCATGCAGTATAGGGAAACTTTTATGGAGTACCATGCGTTAAAGGGGGAGACAAGGCAAAGTAGCTATGATAAGCACAGACGGAAGAGAAGCCAAACATGAGAGTAGACTTCGCTTATGGGGTATTGGCTATGGACAAATTCGTTGAAAATCCTCCACGTAGCGTCAG